ACCAATTGTAAAATACTACTTGTAACATTTTTAGCACCAGTGTGAGCAACACAGTCTCAGCACACAACTGATAAAGTGACTGGTTTCCACTTTCTCAGTTACTCTGAACAAAAATCTCAATCACACACCTGTTCTGACCACATCCGATCAAGAATTCAGAATTTTTTTAAAATCAGCAAAAATTTTAAATGCTTTTTTTTTTGGAGAAAATATATGTGCACACCATGACAGTCAAGGGTTTGCACCCGCTGTGGGGTTTGGAATCAAGGGAGTGGAGAGTAGGGAGGTGAGGATTGGGAGGATGACCGAAGGCACTGTCAAAGAGGAAGGTCTTGAGACGGGCCTTGAACAAGGCAAGGGAGGTGGAGAAGCCAAGGAATTCCTGGAAGGAGTTCCAAAGGGTGGGGGCAGAAAGGCTGAAGGCTCAACGGGCGGGCAAAGGTGGGGCACAGCCCAGGACTCATTGAGCGGAGGGAACGGGCTGGTTGGTAAGGTTTTAGCAGGTTGCAGAGGTACAGAAGAGTAAGTAAAAATGCATCAATCCCCTCCGTTTCCTTAAAATGTTCCATAATACCTGTTGAGCATAGATTGGTTTAAAGATGTTTAGCTTCTTTGTATCCACTGTAAATCTACAATAAAGGCTTGACCTTCAAAGTGCATATCCCCATGATGATTCTAAGAGCAGTTGCAATTCGCTGTAACACAGCATGTAACCAGTGTGTGTTAGCAAAAGAATTCCATGTGGGCAATAATATTTTCATCCAAGTATTAATAATTTAGACACTCCTTTATTTCCCTTCTTTATGATACCTGCAGGGATCTGTGTAAGCTTGTATCCTTAAGGCAAATGGATATTTCCTCTGGGCACGCCAAACTGTCCAGCAGTAATTGATTTGGGAAAATGGTAAGCAAATGACCCAAAGTTAGTACAGTAAACCTCACTTAAGTCATATCAGTTGGGACCATACATTTAATAGGACTTATGCAAAGTACGAGTTATGTCAAACCTGCATAAGTTATAGGAAATTCAACGGGACTTGGGCAGATGTACGACTCAGGCAATTATACGAATTATATAGATCAGACGTATGCGAATTTTACGGTAGTGTGTTTACTGTTTAACCCAGTCGTAAATTCTGATGATTCTGAAACTTTGTTCCCCATGTGGATCTAATCAAAAATTTGTCTAAAGAAACCTCCCGATCTCACATCTTCGGGAGCAGCTCAGTGAATCAAGCCTTTGTACGCTCCTAATGTTGGTAAGCAGTATCATCTCATCCATCAAAAGTAAGGTTCTGAAGATGCCTAAACTAAGATATGGTCTTTCTGTAGTTAGATGATGATGTCTGAACGTGTAGAAAGTTTGTTTTAGTTCCAGCTCAGTGCACCTGTCGAGAGGTGTGTAAGAGTTGGTTGATGACATGGCAAGAGTAAATAGAATTCATGGGAACTTCCATAATATAGTTAAGACAAGTGAAAAATAAGATTTTGAGCAAATTCACCAGAAAGACAGACAAATAATAAGACGCCTAATAATTATCCCTCCAAAACCAAAAACAATCATAAAATTGGTCATTTTCAATCTACGACTGTTTGTGGGACATTGCTGTGCGTGTGTTCTGTGAAGCGCTTTGGGACGTCCTCCCGACGTGAAAAGCGCTATCTCAAATGCATGGATTATTATTATTATAACTGCCCTACTGAGCAAGGAGCCTATAAAAGTTAACATGTAACTCTACACCCCCAAGCCAATTGTAGTTATGAACGTACTGACATGTTCTGACATTACCTGAGGTACAAGCCTCTCAGCCAATGTTGGAAGGATTCAGAATCAGTGTCCTAATAAGTTTATCTTTCTTTTTAAATCCGGGCTAAAATGATCAACTGGACTTATTTGTTTAATTCCTTTAAGGCTCCTGAGCCAATTCAATTTACATTATTCTGGTGCAGTGACTTAAGTGAAGCTTCTGATGGAAATTAAGGAGGCTGTTCTCTCAGCCGAAAGTGTCTGATTTACTAAAGTAGCTTTAAGAAAAAAGATCACTTTTAATCCTGCCCTTGTAATAATACTTTGCCTCATATCTTGTTCATACAGTGCGACTTAAACAGGGTTAAATGTGTGATGATATCCTCTTAGCAGCCAGAAATCTCAAGGTGGAAGAGTCAGGTGGAGATGTTCTTTCCTCTGCAGTGGGCAGCACTCCAGAAGATTATGTTTCAACCCAGTATTAATTTGTGTTATTATAAAGAGTCCATGAATTTTATTGACACTTGGGGTCTGTCCAGCGCACACAGCTCTCACCATTAGCAGAGATTTTGACATGAGTTTTTAGACTGAAAAGCGAGCACCATTCCCACTTTTGTAAATTTAATCTCTCAGACAATTTAAAAGCGGCTAGGCCTATTATCGCCCTTTGATCTCCTTTTTGGATCCCAAACCTCTCAGAGTGGCTTTGTCTGGGTTTGACTTTCCACAATTGTAAGGCGTTCTTGGGAAGTTGAGCTCATGTTTGGACTTATTACTAATTGTTATCAGATGACCTTAGTATTAGGAGTACAATTTGTGCACAACTGCTCACTTGTGGCAGAACAAACATTTGATGCAAAATTCCTGACTGTAATAAAGATGGAATTCTCCCACGAAATACAGAGTCACACCACTTACAGTACTGTATATCCTGTGAAGTGCTTTGAGACGTCCTGACGATGTGATAAGGCGCTATATCAAAAGTAAGGATTATTATCGTTATAACTATTCTTTTTTCTTGCCCCCAGAGCATCACATGTAGGATCATTGAGAATCACTGAGTGGAGGAGGTGTCCTATTGTGTTCCACAATCTAGCTTTCTTCTCTTGCTGGTGTGAATGGAGAGGAGTAGAGAAGGAAGCTAAACTCGCTATTATTCTCCTTAACTCTTCCTTAAATATACAGTACGGAGCTTTATTACCAAGATCAAAGCCTTCTTCATGGTCGTCCAGGAAATAATGTCACATGATCTTGTGGTGGTGGAGTGGGGGGGGGGAATAATTAAACACATACTGCCTTGGGCATTTTTTTTGCCTACTTTGACTATATGCAATAGCAGAACATGGCACAGGGTGACAAAAGCTTGTGAAACAAAACTGATTAGTATGCACATTAAATATTCATTTGCTGTTGCACAGCACAATAGGGGGTAAGGAAAGATATTCAGGGCTTCAGTTTTACCTTCAGAAGCATGATAGAAACCATACAAAGAGAAGACAAAAAAACACCCAAAGTAATGTTTGCTGTTGCACTGCACTTCGTGTAAGGCTTGCTCTATCAATGCTGTTTGCAAGGTGCACTATCATGTGCAAAAGATATTAATATTTCTGCCATGCTAAGAAAGACGCTTTATTTGGGGTGATCGAAAGGGCACGCAAAACTAAAATCCCACAGGACTTTGTTGTTAATCTTATGATTTCACGGTCATCTTTGCATTTGGTAGAGCACCTATAACTTCTCAAAATACTCCACAAGTAATTGCTGTTAAGTATAATGCTCACTTAACTGTTGCAACTGTTTATTTATAAGCAAACACAGCAGAAAATTTGAACACAGCAATGTCCCACAAAAGTAATAATAATAATCCTTGCATTTGATATAGCACTTTTCACGTCTTCTAGACGTCTCAAAGCGCTTTGCAGAATATACTGTAAAGTGAATTGACTATATTTGTGGGCAAAACGCGACAGCCAATTGCATACAGCAGTGTCCCACAAACAGTCGTGGATTGAGTGAACACTTTTTTTTGAGGGATTGTTATCAGGCATGTAGAGTAAGGAAACTTGCCCAAGGTTTTGCCCTTACCATGAAATTAATTAATCTGGGGTACTGTTGGCCTGGACGCTATGAGAAATTCTGTTCTCTTTTTGAATGGTGCTGTGGGATCTTTAACATTCACCTGAACAGGCAGATGGAACCTTGATTTAATGTTATATCTGAAGGATGGCATTTCCAACAATACAGCCAGCCTAGGCTGTCAGTTTAAAGTCCCAACATGAGACTTGAACCAGTACCCTTCTGAATCAGAGGCGAGAGTGCTACTCTTTCTCTTGGTCAAGGTGCACTGTCCAGATCAATCTATATCTTGTTGGGAGCTGGAATGGAGTGTTTATCAAAAGCCTAACAATCACTTCAAGCTCAAACGCTTAGCTGTAACCAACATTTAAATCCATTACTAAATGGAACAGTTATTCCTTGGTTTGCAATCCTGTTATTATTCGGGATATTGCTTGCCAGCCATTCAAAACGAAACATTCTTTTACAGCGACTCATCTCTAAATGTACATTTTTTTTAGTTTATCTTATTTTTGGCATTAAATATTACAGATCGTAATATTTCACAGTCTGACAGACCACTGATGTAAACAGTGCTGTAATTAGATTTTTTTTGGAGGAGCTGGGTTCAGTTGTGAACAAAAATAGCAAGATGACAATGCTGTAAATTATCCTTTGGACTGCTCTGCTGTTAGAGATTTATACCGCATTATAACATGCCTGAAGACACTGCAACAGATCATCTGCTGAAGATTATGACTTCTTGTATTATACAAACTACAAAGTACATTTCTGTATTAAGTAATAAGTAATGCCACGTAGCCCATAATTTTCAGGGCAGTAATTCCATTTTGCGTTTTTTTAAAAAAAACTTTTTAAGTTGAATAATAATTATTAATTTACCCAAATTGGGTGCAGCCAATTTCTTATTAAACCCTTGGAACAACTATCCAAAATTTAAATCTCCTTTAGGCAACTAAAGGAAAAATATCGTCCTTGTAATACTGTATTAATGAATCAATAAGTGTTAGTATTATTGCATCAATATATTAGACAACAAAGACTTGTATAGAAACTGCATATTAACCAGAATTTCAAAAACACTAACAGAAAACCAGAGCTTCTAAAACACCAAACAAAAAGAATTAGAGAAAAGAATCCTAGCTCAGTATTTTGCAGTTAGGCAATTGAAGCTTACGATCTCAAATTTCTTCTTCACGGCTCCTTCTTCTAGCAATAGTAACTCAATCAATGAGCTTTCAAGCATATCCCGCTCAAAATCTGCATTACCAGTGGTGGACAGGCTGAAACAGAGGTAAAATTGTAATGTTTCCCAACACATTCAATAAAGGAACCATCACTGTACATTCCACTCAGCAGCAACCTCTATTCTACTCGAAGGTCACGCCTGTGAACTTGATAGACATGATCTGGGACAAATTGACCTTGGCTCAAAGCCTAATGTCCAATTACTTCTCCAACAGCTCCCAATCCCTCTATTGCACTTCCTGGCTGTTTGTGGGACTTTGCTGTATCCAAATCAATTGCCAGATTCACCCACAAATGACTCAGTCACTTCACTTTGCCGTATATCCTGTGAAGCACTTTGAGACATTCACCCGACTAAAGGCACTACATCAAATGCAAGGATTATTATTATTATTATCATTAGAGATAGCATTTTAATCAGGTTCTTATTGTTCCTAGTATGTACATCTTTGTCAAGAACTTTTCAACGTCACACCCACCACTCACTCCATCCCCTGAAAACAATGCAATAGTGAAATAATAATGCCTAGTCCTGAGTTCCCTTCACTCTCGATGTCTCACTTTGCAAAAGCATGCACACAGCAGTGTGCAATTATACAGAATGTGCTCATTCACCTGCTCATCATTAATACAATCGTTATTTCCATGTTAATACTAAGTGTTGCATCTAAAGCTACAACAATGACAGTCACTTATTAATATGCATAGGTCTTAGTTTTGGGAAATGCTGTAGGTAAATCTTCCAATGATTTCTTCATTTAAAAAGGTCGCAGATTGTGCTTATGGCTGACTGTTGTGAAGCCAGACAAGAGCAGCAACCCATTCAAAGCAGTCAAACGTCCTCACGTACTGAGAGATATTAGTGTCTACAACACATTAAAATGACGTGAGGCTGCACTTACAGACATGGCATCAAAAGGTTTGTTCTACATCAACCAGATCCAAAATAAATCTCAGCAGGAGAAATCAATGTGGAGTAGTTACTTGATTTGTTTATCCCCATAAACGCACATCAATGTGGGAAGTATGTTGACATAACCATATCATGTAAACACTCCGACAGGCAGTACGTGCATTGAGCAATGATGTAGCACGAAAGGCATGAAGCAGGTTTAGGAACCATTCCAAATAACAGTACTAATCAAATTATCTCATTGAAGTGAGTTTATCTGATTCCATGCAAAGAAAAGGCAGTTTCGCAATAAATGTGCAATACTGATAGTTGGTTCAATATCTGTGCACTTTCTTAAATGTACTCTTCTACAACTACAACTACAACAATAACAACAACTTGTAACTTGCAAGCGATGCAGAATGAGTACAATTTTGTATCAAAACCTTATATGGCCACATTTTTGTATATTGTTACTGTAATCAGTAAAGCTAAAATGCATTTAAAGTGCATTTTTGGTGGAAGACTGAAATGCTGTAAACTGTCCAGGGCCTTGGGACACCCTCCCGACGTGAAAGGCGTTATACAAATGCAATCTTGTTGTTGTTGTTGTTGAAGAATTGCCAAGCATGCAATACAAAGTAGACTGGAGTTGATCTCAGTAGCTGTCTATGTATGGCAGGTGTGAATCAAATTGGGCGCTCTCCCCCAAGAGGTTTGTGGAAAGCTCTCAAATGCCTCAATTGATGACAGAAAAGCGTTGTATTTATCCCATAAAAACTTCTTAATAATGTTTTAAAAAAAACAGAAAACTTCAAACTAGATTTTAAATGGCCTAGAGTGACGTAGAGCAGGAATGTAAATCAAGCTCCCTGCTCCAGATCATTCTGCCACTGGTAGCAATACCACCACAGGCCCAGAATTACAAGTTAACTCCCACTCACCTGTGCCTTAGTTATAAGTTATAATTGGCACTGCGGGCCTCAAGCAGTTACTGACGGCAACGTACAAGCGTTCATAAATTAAACCAACTTGTCAACTGCTTCTTGGAACCCACCAATTAACTACCTGAAACTCAGCAAGTTATATATATCTTAATGCAGCATTTTACAACCGGCTGCATACAGCTCAACTGAGTTCAAAGCACTTGATTGGTTGGTTCCTTTGACAAGACAAACTAGAAGTAACATTTCACATCAGATGATTTGCGACTGGTGTCATTTTGCATTTCTCCAGTTCAAACAATAATGGCTGCAGCTTCTTTGAGCTATAGTGGTTTGTGGCATGTTGCATATTTCATCAGGCTGGTCCAATTTAGCTCAATACAGGATCATCCATTGAAGAATATAGCAAATAATTTTACAAACATTTTTTTTTGATTTTGACAATAAGCAAAAGAAAATGGGGAACCTCAAGTGGGCACACGCACACGTACACACACACACATACACACACACGTACATGCAACAAAAACGCTCGATTCTCAAAATATTTTGGTTGTGGATCACTATCTATCTCACCAGTGAATACCCTCAAAGTACCAACAGGCGTAGAGAACAAAGTCTTTTGTACTTTGAGTAGTTGGGTTTTCCCCCTCTCCTCCAATCACCACTTAGATAATTCAGAATTCTTTATTCTCAATAAATTAATGTTTCTCCACAATGTCTGAATGATCCTGAACAACATTATAAACTATTCTCCCCTGCACAAACTGATTGTCAGCTGTTGATTTTTAGTTCCTGGCACCATTCCTACCTGGCACTTGAGAATTACAGCAAGAACTTGTCATTGTTACATTGATGATAATGCATAAAAAAAATCCCATAGCACGAATCAAAACGAGAAGCAAGTTTCTCCTGGTATCCTGGCCAACAATCCCCCAGATGAAATTGGTCATTCACTTCATGGCTATTTGTGGGAAATTGTTGTGCACAAATTGGCGGCTGCCTTGACCTACAAAATACGGTCATTACACTTTATAGTAAATCCAGTGAAGCACTCCTGACATGAAAGCACCATATCAAATGCAAGGATTATTATTATTTATTATTATTTGCTCAATGTTATCAGGACATTGCCTGCTACAGAGAAAGTGAGCAAATATTTCAAAACAGCACCAGAGTGATACAATGGAATGCAAACAATGAAAGTGCAGCAATATTTTGATTGCAAACGTTTACTTTAGGCCAATAGAACGTTTGCCAATAATTCAATAAATAAGCCAAATCATTGCTCACTTTATCTTCTTCATGAATGGTAAATGTGAAAAAGCATCTCATCAAAAAATAATCATCCAATTGGCAAAATGAGTCTTGGCAATATTAGAACCTTTCCTTACATGGGAAAGAAATTATGATTACAGTAGTAACAAACTTTTACTAATACAGTACTCTATTATCACAGAAACTGTTACAGATTTAATACATTTCTAAATGACAAAAATAAATGGAACATACAAGTAGGGAAACCCATTGTCATTGGCACAGAAATCCGATAGGATCCAACACCTAAAGCTCTTTTTATGTTTTGCAGTTAGTATCAATACGGGTAACACTATACTTGCTGTAAATACTGCTGCATAAAAGCATAACACTTCTAGTGCACATCATCTGTTTCGTGTCTTAGAAACAATCCTCGTACGTGGGTTTAGAGAGGGGGAAAGGGAACAATCAATCATTCCCAGCAGTTCTGTTTTCACTGAAAGTATTTGTACCCCTATCCATTTTCTTTTCTGCTTGAAGCAAAAACTTTCCATGATGAAGAATCCCCATTGAACTAATGGGATTGCTGTGCAACAGGAAAGTATGTTTCTTTCATGCCTCAGGCTTTAAATAAATAGGCCTCTGAAGTGCCTCAGAACACAGATTGTCCCACTTAACCCTTGTATTTTCCATTATTCAAACCAACAATTTTATAGGATTTAACACAAAGATGCTGTGCTTCTCAAAGAGCCTTGGCTTCCTTTACTAGAGTGCTGCCTCACTTTTATACATTGCTCATTACTAAGACTCATTAGATGAGGTCTTACGTTTCCAGCAGATTCATATTCACCTGTCAGCAGGAGGAAGACATCAAAGGAATATGTCTAAAAGAGAAAGAGCTGGAATTGTATAAATGACTTGTAAGTACTGTATTAGAAATCTTATTATATGGCCTCCCACAGATTTAGAACGTAAATGGGACAAAGCCATCACATGATTTAAAATAATAATGCACAATCTTCAATATTAGACAGCCTGGAATACCTCAGAAAATGCCTTTGCTAACGATGCCTTAATACGACTGGACATGATACAGCTTAGATGGCTCTGCATCCCGATTCGTTCTCCGAGAAACGTAATGGTTATTTAAAATGCAGTTGTTGCTAAACTTTAGCAATTACACATGGTTTCCCATGCGTGTTGTCCGGAGTCTATACAACTGCAAAGCCAGTGACTGCAAGTAGATTCAGGATCTTGTTCCATTCTGACTGTTCAGGCAAAGACTGACCTGCACAACATTCAGTGTTACTTAGGTAATCGAACAATGCACATTTGCACAAAAAAATCTAATTCCTCAAAAAATGCAATTTTTCACAGCTTACACAAGCTTTGTCTTGTATATTTTATATATATAAATAAACACATGTTTTCGAAAAAAANTATTTGTAAGAAAATCAGCTTTAAAAACTCCAGAAAATCAACTTCAAAGGTAAGACCGTGTTCAACAATTTGTCAAATTCTGAATGTTCTGAAATCCAGATGTAATTTCTCCCCATCAATACCTTCCATATTGAACTCTGGACTGCAAAATGTGGATAAAAACAAAATGCTACTTGCCATTATGCAATCTGCTGTATGTAAGGAGTGATTGCTCACTCTTTTTAAACAATGCACTTTGCATTAAAACACTTAATTGCGGTTAACAATAACAATTCATGACCTAATCAGGGATTAATATTTATGAAAGGACATTCTGTGACCTGGGCTCACAGCCTTCACGCATTAGTCAGTATCCACTTATTATTTATTTTTATAAAGAGAATTTACTTACCCCCGTTGTCATATATATTCTCTTTCAATTATGTTTTTTCACATCTGAAGCTTTTCAGAGAAAGAAACACAGGCTGACTCAATAAAGTAACTGAGAGGGTTTCCTTACCAGAGCTGTGAGGTGATGTGGATCACCTATTCACCTGTCTAAAGCATAAATAGGAAATTCCACACAACAACAACAAAT